ACCGTCCACGAGACAGAGGCCTTGCGTCCCTCCGATCCTGTCCCCAAGTCGATGCAAGCGGGCCCTACAGGGAAGGGAAAGCTCAAGATCATCATCAAGACCCCTCAATCACACGCTGCGGGACACGATGATGCCATCGATGACGGAGCTGACGACGACGAGCTCTCTGCCGACCTCTTTACTCCCTTGACTGAAGATCAAGGCTTCACTTCCGAAGAGCTCAAGATCCCCCTTGAGAGGCTGTACAAGCTCTGTAGATTCCAAGTCAAGTGGGCGCAAGAGGAGTCGGTTAAGCTGGCGGAAGAGGTCAAGTACTGGGAGAAGCAGTACAAGGACCTTTGGCGCGAGAAGGAGGTTCTCTTCTCCCAGGTTGTCAAGAGTGAGGTCGACTGGCACGAGCGCAGACAGGCAGTCCTTTCTGGCGCAGCAGATGTCCAGCTTTCGGGCGTGCTGGAGAGCCAAGAAGGTAATCAGGCAGCCACCAACGGAGAAGACGCAGACACCCAGGAGACTGACAAGGCCGAAGCGACTCTGACAAATGGAGCCAACTCCACCGAAGTTGCGGCAGCTAGTTAGGGTCAGCGCTTGGTATCCTGGAACCCAGGCGTCCAGTTTTAGTTGGACAGATTGACCTAGGCCGGCGACCTCGGCAAATTCGAGGGAGTCCCTTCGGGAATGGGCGAATCTCCGGTTCCACACATCTATTGCGCCTGAGTGATGCCTTTGTATTACCTTGTCACAACGCACTGGAAGGACTATACGGGTGTGCGTGCGTTTGAAGCGGCTGAGGCAGCCGAGGCATCTACCTGAAATGATACAAGTCCAACCTCCCAAAGACAACAGACAGCAGCAGAGGAAGCAGAGCGTTGCGCACCCTCGTCAAGGCTGTCATGATATCAAAGGAAGCAGGAAAAGGAGACAGACGTCTGGCAAGAGGATGTGAAAATATGCCTACTACAGCATCCCACCAAGAAGCAGAGAGCATGGAGAGCGCAAATTGACGTCTCTAGTGGTGATGCATCACGGGAGTCATGAGGAAGGCGACTAGGGAAATAGGCGCATGGAGTAAATGTACACTAGGGAGTGGGTCTCAACTTGCACTTGAAGAAGCGGTATACGACTGCTTTTCTCAGTATCATTTCTTTGATTCTTTAGCCTTGGACAAGACCCCGAACACGCCATCTCACAAAGCACAAAGGTGATTTTGGCGGCGTAGAGCGTGAAGGATGACTTTTTTCTTCTATATCACCTTAACCACAGGATGACAGCCAAGGCCCCTTGAACTTGGCCAAGGGAACATCAACATTGCCTATTTACTAGCATTCTCTGTTCGCCAGCACTAAGTTGACTGCCAATGCCCTCGATATACAATAGCTGCAGTCTTTCTCTCTCTCTTTTCGTTTCCTATTCCCCTTTACAAACCCTTCTTCTTGGATCGATACGACTCGGTATTCTTAAAGGGAAACGAGCTCGTGTCCTTGTCGTAGCCGTGCTTCTTGCTGCGGCGCGACTTGTCACCGGCGAACATGAGGCACCAGAGCCCCGAGACGGCGAAGACGGCGCTGCCGAGGCAGCCGAGGGCAAAGGCCGTCTGGCCCGTCCGGAGCCACCTGCTGTAGCAGTAGAAGCCGGCCGAGGCGTGGTGGATGGAGGAGAGGATGAGGGCTGCGTTTGCGTAGGGGGAGACTGTTCCTGCGGGTGCTGTTTGGGAGGTCAGTTGTGTGAGCTGGGTATAGGCTAGGAGTTTGGGTGTTTGGATAACAAGGGGAGAGGGAGGTAGGGAGGAGGTTTCATCTTACTAAGGTCCTCTGATGCGAGGGGGACTGCTCCTGAGAGGGTGACGACGAGGAGGCCTAGGGTCAGGAGGGCGAAGCCTAGGGAGCGTGCGAAGTAGTCCTCGAGAGCTGGAAGGTTTGATATGTCAGTCGCTCAACTCATGGGGCTCATACGAGGTGGATGGAAGCGGGAGAAGACTTACAGCCTGCGGCGTACTGGTAGTCATCGGGACGGAGGAGGTTGGTGATGAAGCGCGGCCATATGATGAGCGGGACGGCCTGGGTCGCGAGCCAGCCCAGGTTTCCGAAGCTAAAGGTTGATATTGCCTGTTGGTTCGTCATGAGGTAGTTAGCGAGGGATTCCATGAAACGAGAGGGGCGGAGATGAGATGGGGAGGGCATCGTACGTCCATTGGGTTGATGTAGTGAGCAGAACTTGGATTCTTTCTCTATGAGGGGTGATCTGAGTGCAATTGACGGCTGTTGAGGTTATGGATTACTGCTTTGAGAGCTTGCGATACTGTATTAATGAAGCTTCGTGGAGCTTTGCCTCGCGCGTGGGATGACTGCAAGGTTGAGCTCAGGGAAGAGAGAGCTACGACGAGCCACGACGAGCCGACGTCATTGGACGGGCCCCCGGCACCGCGTCCCTTGCCCGCCATGGCTTCCGATTCCTACCCTCACTCGACGGCCTGCGTCGGCCAGCTGCAATGCCCCCTGTAATCCTGTCGGCTTAGGTTCACTAGGTTAGGTTCTCAGGGGCCAATGCCGCGAGGGGCTTCTAGGTTCCATCCACTTTTCCCATCCCGCCACTGAGTGGATGCCGATTTCGCAAGGCCCAGACGCGCCTGCACTGTCAGCGACGGGGGGGGGGGGGGGGCACTTTGATTGTTGACTCTGCGAAAAGGCGAAAAAAACCCAGTGGTGGGGGCTGGATTTGCAATCAACGATTAATTCCTACCTCCCACTTCGATTTGCGCATCTCCGGCTTCGCGGGATACAAGGAGGGAAACCACAACTCGTCTAGAAGCAACACAGAGTTCTTATCTTCTGCATATTGCGTCGTTTCCATATTCATTTCTGAACGTACGGCTTGTGTCCTTCGCATCTCTCTCTCACACTCCGCTGCGTTGCGACTCACAAACGTCTTATCGTCGACATTTTGCATATCGCATCGCATCCACGCATTTGCCCCGCCATCTTCGATATCCCACCTCCCCTCCTCCTTTCCCTCCCACTCTCCCACCCTCTCTCTCTCTCTCTCCCACTCCTCTACGCCTTACGACACTCTGAACGGAAATCCATCAAGATGAGCGCAATCCTCTCCGCAGACGACCTCAACGATTTCATAAGTCCAGGCGTCGCCTGCATAAAACCAATCGAAACCCTCCCCTCCGTCCCCCCGCCACCCCCCGTCGACGCCTCCCTCGAACACGAAGTCATCCTCGACGGCCAACCAGGCTCCAACACCGCCGCAGCAGCAGCAAGCAATGCACCTCCCGCCGAAATCTCCCTCACAGACTGCCTCGCCTGCTCAGGCTGCGTCACCTCCGCCGAAGCCGTCCTCGTGAGCATGCAATCCCACACCGAAGTCCTCAACACCCTCGACTTCGGCCCCGCCCTACGCATCGTCGGCCCGGACCCGACCACGGGCGAGTTCCACGTCCAAGGCTTGGAGGACGCAAGCAGGATGCTCTTCGTGGCGAGCGTCTCGCCACAGACGAGGGCGAGTCTGGCTGCCGCGGCGGGCGACGGCACGACGGAGCGGCAGGCTGGGTATATGCTGGACGCGCTCTTCAGTGGCGATGCGGGGCTCGCGAGCGGCGGGAAACACGGGAATGGGTTCACGTGGGTGTTGGATACCAACGTTGCGCGCGAAGCGTGTCTTGTTCTCGGGGCGGATGAGGTTCTGGGCGGTAGCGCAGCGGCAGTGGCAGCGGCAGCAGCAGCAGCAGGCGCTTCGCCATCACCATCGACTCCCGCGACAAAGCCGATTCTTACATCCTCGTGCCCCGGGTGGGTGTGCTACGCCGAAAAGACGCACCCCTACGTCCTCCCGCACCTGTCGCGCGTGAAATCGCCCCAGGCGCTCATGGGCACCCTGCTCAAGACGACGCTGAGCAAGAAGCTCGGGATCCCGCCCAGCAGGATCTGGCACCTGGCCGTCATGCCGTGCTTCGACAAGAAGCTCGAGGCCAGTCGCGAGGAGCTCACGGATTCGGTGTGGAGCCCCGACGGGGACGGGAAGCCGGGCAGAGGGGTCCGCGACGTGGACTGCGTTATCACGAGCAAGGAGGTCCTCATGCTGGCCGAGTCAAGGGGTTTCAATTTCTTTAATCTACCGCGGGGTAAGCCATCCGCCGCCTGTGTCCAACGTACGCCGTTCCCGGACGCGAGGCTGGAAAAGTTCCTCTTCCCGGCCCACGGAGCCCACCGCTCGTCCGTGGCCGCTGGCTCCTCCGGCGGCAACCTCTACTTTACCCTTCAGACCGTGGCCTCCAAACACCCCAACTCCCAGATCCAAGTCATCCGCGGCCGCAACGCCGACGTCGTCGAGTTCGTCGTCGCTTCCGCCACGGGCGACCCCATCTTCAAGGCTGCGCGGTACTACGGCTTCCGCAACATCCAGAACCTGGTCCGCAAGCTGAAGCCGGCGCGGCCGTCTCGTATGCCTGGCGGCAAGGCGTTCGGCGCCGCCAGGAGACCTACGGGAAAGTCCGCCGGGCTCGAGTACGCCTATGTCGAGGTCATGGCCTGCCCCGGCGGCTGCACCAACGGCGGCGGGCAGATCAAGGTCGACGACCCGATCGTTGTGGAGCGGAAGGGCTACGAGAGCAAGCCGGGCCCGCTCGAGCAGAAGCATTTCCTGGCCGAGGTCGACGAGGCCTACTTTTCAGCAGAGGACTCTGACGGCGAGGAGAGCAATGGTATTGCTCAAAATGGTGACGGTCTGCAAGTAGCAGACGACGTTGTTGACGGAATTTCGCCTTCTTACATTCGAGATACCCTGGCGCATTGGGCGGATTGCACTGGCATAGACTTGGGTAGATTGGCCCTCACCACGTATCGCGAGGTGGTCAGCGACGTGGGCAAGGACAAGGCTAGCGACACGGAGCGCGTCGTTCAGCTGGCGGGCAAGATTGGCGGAGGCTGGTAGTCTTTTTTTGCTTGTTTCTTCTTTCCCTCATTTGACAGGGAAGAGGCAAAATTAGCATAGTAATAATTTCATCCTTCCTTTGTGCCTCGCTTGGCGAAGCCGAATCCACCTCGTCCAGTCCCATCCGGTCCGCGTGGAGCTCGAATGGCCTGCTTGGGCTGGTCCTCGATGTCTCTTGGAGTCGAACGCCCAGAATGCGGGTTGTACGTGTTGTACGTGTTTGGGCCGTCGCCGCCTCCGCGCTTCTGCATTCCGAAGCCGCCTCGTGGTGCGTAACCGGGGTCGTAGAGCTCGCGACCGCTCTCGGCGCGAACGGCGTCGGATCTGCTGCTGCCAGGTCGTCGTAGGTCATCTTGTCGGTTCGAATTCCCTCGATATCCACCGCCGCCGCCGCCGCCACGACCGCGTCCCCTTCCCCGGCCGCGCCCTCCACCTCTTTCGTTCTCGGCACCTCCCCCTCCCCCTCTAGGTGGTGTGACGGTCCCACTCGGGCTCGAGGCGCCAGAGGAAGGGTTCGACTCGCCAAAGATCTTTGCGCGCGCCTCCTCGTACCGCCGCTGCTTCTCCTCGAGCTCGCGCTGCTGCTTGGCGCGGATCTCCTCGGGCGTGAGCTGCGGCTTCTTCTCAGCGTGCTGGTCGTCGGCGTCGTCGTCGGCGAGGGAGAGGTGGGAGAGGAGGCCAGTGACGGGGTCGCGCCGGGCGATTGTTCGGGGCGCGGGTTTTCGGCTCAGGACTTTGACCTGGGGTTTGAAGCCCGTGGCGAGGGGGACTGAGGGTTGGGCTTCGAGGAAGGTCATTGGTGTGGGCGTGGGGGAGTCACTAGAGAAGGTCGACGTTCATGTTAGCTTCTTTGCCCGTTTTTGATGACCATCGCCATTGGGAGGACATGGGATAGGTAATAAAAAGGGCCATAAAGACTCGGCACGAAAAAACTTCCGGGTGGAAGACATACGCTGATTCCCAGAGCTTTCGATTCTGCTCGGCGTGCTGGGCGAGCCGCTCTGCCTTGGTCATCGGTACCTGCAGTTCAGGCTGCACCTCTGTGGGTTGGGCGTCAATCTTGTCGGCTGCAGACTCCCAGTCATCATCCTCCCAGGCGTCAGGGACGAGAGCAGCGCCGCCATTCTTGACCATCTTTTCAGCTTTTTGGCGGGTGGTGGTTCCTGTGAAGCGACCCAACTCTGTGATAACGTGACCGTGATGGTGGGGGTGGGTGAAGCTTCACTACGGTGTTGAAGCCTGCCTGCAAAAAGGTGGTGGGCGATCGATCGGTTGAGGAAGCTGAGACCTGAAAGGGAGGAGAGAGGTGTGCTGTGACCGTGACGAGGCGAGCGGTGATCTTGGGCTAATGTGGGAGCATTGGATGGGTGGATAGGATAAATGTGAACACACAAGAACCAAAAATGGCAGGTTGTCCAAAGGGTGGTGAAGTCGATGCTCACAATGAGGTTAAAGGTAGAAAGGGAAGAAAAAGGTGGGATGAGATGAGTGAGGTTAACAGACCCCTTGTCGGTTGTGCCTTGGTCAGAGGCGTCCGAGGCGGCTACGGCTATTTTTTTTTTTCTTTTCTCAAAAGCTCCCCTCAGCTGAGCCATGGACATGTCATTTACTTTGACATTCGCCTCTATACGGGAGGGGAAACATGTACTGAATAAGTATCCTCTCCGGACTTGTGTGGAGGGGCACCCAGGGGTCAGCAGGCGCATCGGATCTTGGAAACACCCTTGGAATGGTGGGGTTGGCTGGGCCCGGGTGACAGACAGGCGAGCGATGTCCATCTCGCCTCATACCTGACATACCATACCACTCCATCACTCACTGCGGTGCTCAGACAGAGCTGCGACGGGGATAACCTCAACTTTGGCTTCTTCAACGATAATCAGCAAAACAAAAATCTCAACAGGTGTCACCACATTTCAATATTCCCTCGAGGCCTTTATTCAAGAGTCTCCTGAACCCCCTTCGCCAGCACTTGGCACATCTTCTACTTCGCAGTCGGGATTTAAGGGGAGTTCACAAAGTACCGTGACACAAACAACCCAACCCCAAGATGTACATAGAATACAGAGCTCATCACTTTTCAGGAACCCGCATTTATACAACGGCCAAGAAAATAATTCAACAGCAAACACAATGGCAGCAGGCGGCGCGAAGCTCCAGACCCCCAGTTCCGAGGCCGGGGGAAGCATCCGAGACGACCCCAAGGCTTCTTCGGCGGCGGTAGCGGCCGCGCCCAGCTGGAACAATAAGAAGTTCAGAGAAGAGTACGAGTCCTTCAAGGCGAAACTTCTCGACCAAAGATTTGACCCAAGTAAGCGAACCTCTTTGTTTTTCTTTCCACCCTTTTCCCGCTGGTGAATGGCTGTGATGGCATGGCAGTCAACTCAAACACATTCGTTGGAATAACTCATGAGGAAGATATGAGAGGGCTAAGCTTACGAAATTTGTTCCAATCTGACAGAACATTTCCCGGATCCGCTACTTCCAAGAAGCGGCTCTGATCCCCGAAATAACCCCAAGACGACGCCGGAGGCTGAGCGACGGATCGACAAGATCATCGCCGAGTACAAGGCTAGAAGTTAAAAGAGTCAAGTTGTGCATAGGTCGTCATTTGGTCTGACTTATCAGGCTGGTTAGTTGGTTGGTTTAAGGGGAGTTAAGGGGAGTGAAGGGGAGGGGCTGAAGATATCCGTTGATTCATGCTTAAATCTGCAACTGAGGTGGTCAAGGACGAAAGAACAAAAGAGGATCTTGAAGGATTGTAACCTCTTCATTTTGTGTATGAGAGTATGTCGTCTACATCGACTCTTTGTCTATCTTGTTTGATGCCCGAAATAGAGTGGAGTTCCAACACATTGTTTTTGCTTGAAAGGAGCTGTTTCATTCAACTTGGTCTTTCTCCATTGTCAAAAAACATGGAAACCCCGAACCTTGGGAAAAGGTAGAAAAAAGACAAGGCAAGGTAACCGTCTGAATCAGAGAAAGAGGCCGAGTGACTGCTAGAGCCTTGTGGGGCCTCTTAAGTCTTCAGGTGTATACGGAGATAGGTTGGTAGGGTGAGGCAGTCACGCGGACCAGACAGGTCGGTCATTCACCTCTCACCACCAACCACCCACCCACCCGACCTTATTTCCTTGCCTTGCTTCGCCCTCGATATTGTAACGGAGATGGCTCAGCCCAGCCCAGCAAGGTCAGACCGGGAAAGGCAGTGAATAAAATCCCCCTCGACTTCTTCATCTAAAAATTCCCATTTTAGTCGTGTAATTACCCTAATCGCGCAAATAGCCATCTCCGATTGTTCAATCACTCACCTCTTCGGCCATCCCCGTATTCGAGTAACCGCCCTCTTCGTCTTTTGAATGATATATAAAGACGTACTCGGCCCCTACCATTGTAGCATCTTTCTCTAGTTCTTCATACATCCTTCCTACACTTCCGCGGATCTGAAGAAGAAACGCAAGCATATGCGACAACGAAGACTTGACAACAAACAAGACTTCGATAGCAACATCGTTTCCAACTCAAATCGATCAAGACTCAAGGGAAACATCTTCCTCAGTCTCAACTGACTCTGCTCTCGCTTGGAACCTCACGACAGGCATAATAAACACAAACTTTCGCCTCCGTCTCAAAGTCCAACAAAACCAAACATCACCATAATCGAAGAGGTTGAACAAGGTCGAGGGGGAGCACTTACACTACATCAAACATCTCAACCAAAAGACTTCACACAATGACCAACCCTCAAACCCCATCCACCGACGCCGGCGCCGGCGCCAACATCCTCACACCCAACATCAACGTCTCCAACCTCAAGCCCATTACAAAAATCAGACTCTTGCCCTCCAAGCCCATCCTAACCCCGCCCACAACCACAGGCACAACAGGCACAAGCACCACCCCGAGCTTGAGCCCGAGCCCTAAACCCAAGGCTATCAAGCTCAAGCTCAAGGCCTCGTCATCCTCGTCTTCAGTCTTCGCTACCAGTCGCCGGCGCAAACTTCACCGCCAGGAAGACGTTGCGAGCTCCCGTCAGTCCTCTGAGCCTAGTACTCTGGTATATCCAGCCGCAGCAGCAGCAGCAGCAAGCCCAGCAACAACAGGCACAGAGGTAACAACAACCACAGAGGCAATCACAGAGGCAACGGCACCAGTCACAACCTACACCTCACCCTACACCTCTCTCTACACCACCACCCCCCGCGTCGACCACTGGCTCAACCAGCAAGTCGCACTCCACGCGGCCCGCGGATCCCCCTTCTCTTCCTTCTCCGTCTCAGCCAGCCTCGGGAACAAGAAGAAGCCGAGAATCCTTATCTCGACGCGGAATCTCACATGGATCAAGGCGAGCAACGGGGTCTGGGTGAAGGTTCCGCTCGCGAGTTGGAAGGAGAGGCAGGTGAGGCCTAGTACCAAGGTTGTGTTGAGGACGAGTCGTCGGAGTGAGTGAGTATGTGTGTAAGACATACATACACACCGCAGAGAGAGAGAGAGAGAGAGAGAGAGAGAGAGAGAGAGAGAGAGAGAGAGAGAGAGAGAGAGAGAGAGCAGAGCATTGGACATATGGGCATCGGTGTATACTGCCCAACGGGAACAAAAGAGTTTCCACTTACGAATTACGAACTTGGATCAAAGCATCGGAGCAAGCGTTCTTTTAGAGAAATACCCCTTCTCCCTCGTTGAATTTCGTTAGATACAGGAGAAGAAAAAAAGGGACGAGGAACAATGTCTTGTCTTATCGGAAGCATACGATATAGCTAAGGGGCGTCACGGCATTAGAAGCGGACTACGAAGCGGCATTCCGTATCGATAGAATCCTGGAGATCTCGTACGGAATGAGAGAAAGGTCCTTTCGTTCATGGAGTTCCCTTCTCTACTTCTTTACCGATGATTACTTGGTCAGCGTTAAAGCTGTAGAGATATGGATAGGAAAAGGTTGGGCATGATTAGAAGTTCTCTTGCGAGAGGAGAGGGTACATCATAGATGATAGATGCTCGGGCAATTACGACAAATAATGAGAATGCGAGACTATTAGGTTCTAAGCTCCCATTTTCATGTGAGTGACCTTGAGTTGGATTGTACATTACTTGATGTGACTGCCGAATCTACTGTGGTGATAGCTGAACAACTTGAGGAAATAATGATTGCGTCTAGTCTACTTACTGAAATCCACCACAGTCGAATCGATGCCAAGAAGAAAGACGGCACAGAGGCGGAAGGCTTGCGGCTCGTCCCAGCCTGGAGCCGCCGCCGTTAACCGTCCAGAGCACATCATCATTGGTAGAAAGGTGGGACATATCGAAACTGTATCGATCCAAACCTTGTACTTGGCTCTCGTTTTCTCATTTTCTCTCTCACACTCCCAGATTGATCTAGATCGTCCGGCTTTGGCACATGGCAATCCGAGGGGAAAAAAAAAAGGCATCGACCCCTCATCGGCAGAACACGGAGAGCATTGACGTCGAGCTTGCATCTTTACGCATGAAGCTCCCCCCCGCCAACGGCACACGAGGGTCCGTCAGACCTGACCTATAAAACGAAAAAGCATCAGAGATCTGTTCGAGGCCGACGGGATCTTGCTTGAGCTGCCAAGGACGTGTACCATTGCAAGCTGATGCCGAACGGCGAGTCTCACAAGTCGAAAAGTGTTCTCAATGCACGAAGGGTCGTACAAAGAAGCACGTAGGTTCATCGGCATGTGGGTTCCGAGATGAGGGGAGAATGTCAGTCAATGAGGAACTCGGGCCACAGCTTGGACGAAACCTTTTACTTTGCTGGGTTGACAAACCGGGATGGGCGAGGTGCAGATCCGGCGGGTCGGGTCGAGTGTCTCTTCGGACGAGTCTAGGTATCGCTCAGGACGTTGTGTGGTTGCGAAACGTTGGTGAAAGACACGCGGTCGCGCGGTAGAAGAGACTTGAAGGAGAGTTTGGGTGTACAGTAGCACCAAGAGGAGATCAGACATGTTCGTCGGTCGTGCCTGGCATCGGTCCATGTACTTGCGACTCCTGCATAGGTTGAGCAATTCTTTGTTGGGAACATGTCGACCTTTTTTCTGTAGATGGCTATCAAACGGGACATTCCGTGCTGAGGAACTGTTGCCTTAGTCAACTTCCCATCACTTGCTCAGACATGCGCTACGTTTTTTTCGGTGAAGCATGCTCGCGTCGCCGTCGTTTCTCGTATAGCGATTAGGGAACACTGTAGTAGCGATGCAAGACATGAGGTTGGCCTTGTAGCGGTTGCATGGCGTGGCAATGAAGCGAAGCGAGCCTAATGACTCGTTGACCACAAGCCGCAAACCCGCCACGTCTCGAACGCTGGGCAACGTCGGATCAGACGGGAGCAAAGTTGGAGGTCCCACGCCCACGTCGAGGAGGACGAAGAGGAGGCAATTGACGTAGTGGAGTCGACCGGTTTGTGTAATGTAGCGGCGGGCCGGCTTCTCCACCAGAGGTGAACGGCGGGGAAGATTGGCGGCTGTCGTTGGACGTTCCATCATCTTGTACCAAGCGTGGGGGAATGTTGGGGTTAAAGTCTCGACATGACATTGAGGTGCTGCCAACTGAGTTGTGGCGCAGGAATCCCGCATAATAGCCACTTGGGATGTAAAGCAGGATTCAGAGGACATCCCGCGACGTAAGCACATGGTTGCAGTGAGTGGTGCTCCGGTACCGATACATTGATCTTGGATTGGGTTGCCAGGTATAGAGGGCCATGCTATGCCATACCAGGCTGCCAGGCCAAGCGGAATTGCGAGTCGTCGCCACGAAGCCGGTCCTTCCAAGACAAGGCCTAGAGTTCGTTTGGGATTGACCGATAGTTGAAGACATGTCGGTGTGGTAAGACGAATACATCAGGTGAATGATTGACTGACTAGCCTAGTGTAGAGGTCAGGAGGGAAGAGCAAAGTAGAAAGTGTTCGCCATTATGACGATCGTATGCGCTTGGTTACCTCGAATGCCGCAACAGCTGATGATGTCCTGTCTTTAGGCAAGTCGGCATAGCTTGCAACGGGGCCCCTCATTGGATTACTGTAAGTCTTGCCCCTTGTCTGCCACGCAATGGACGTTCTCCATCGGAGAAACTGTCTTGGTTCAGTGTTGATGAAGCTGAGCTCCTCAGCACCCTAAGAGAAGCAACGGCCTACACTGGCATGTCGGTCAGCGCTTACGCAGGAGCCACTGGCAACTCATCGATCAATAGGCTATCTGACCGCCTCGTTGCCACGAAGCGCTCTTTTGTGCCAGATACCACCCCACATTGGGCGATAGAAATTTCAGTTTTATCAAGAGATGTCGGAGCTGTGAAGGCGAACTTGAGCAAAGGACCGGGGGCTCTATGTCCTGTACTGTGGTACAGCGTCAAGAGCTGACCATCACGGAAGCTTGAAAACAGTGGCGGATATTCTGACGGCTGAAGCTGGGAATGTCCCGAGAGAATACAGGCTTGGGTCATGTCTTCTTCCGCTGGTGTATGTATTCGAGTTGTTACAGACGGAGAGGCGCCAAAGGCGCTGGAAGCTCCTGAGTGGTTGAGGACAGGCCGAAGCAGAGCCCCCTTCTTGGCTCAGCGAGGTAATTAATGGACCACAACTGAGCTGCAGCTATCGCCGTGGAAGGTGAATCGATAAGTGATAAGATAGCTAGGTTGTTGATATGGCGTTTGGGGGTCACTTGTCCGTGTCGGTAGCTATACATTCTAATCGCGTGGATAGATACAAGGATACAGGTCGAGACCACGAGAGAGTTCAGGTATCTTTACTTTGACATTGTGTTATGTTGCAGCCAATGCTTCGCTGGAAGAGGCGATGTGGATGTTGGTTCGTCGAGACTTTATTGACTCATCCACCTTGTCAATCGCATCGTCCGTCAAGCCCACCCACCAGGGCACCCACCCCGGCGGTTCGCTCGCGGGTTGCCCATGTCGAATGGAGGGGGATGGCCCGCCGGCGGGTCGACGTTTTGGTTTCCCGAGGAGGATCCCTTGGGTCGGCGGTCTCGGAGGGAAGCCGGCGAACCACCCCCCCCCCAACAAGCCCTGCCCTGGGGCCCGCGGAAGAGATCCATGACCAAAGTCTTTCATTCGTAGCGCGGTAATGCGGCGCTTTCCTTGTAATGACTTGTGTCGCTCAGCCCGGAGATGATGTTTGATATTAGCACCTAGATAGCCTGGCACGCCTGGTCAGTCTGCTCCGGTTGGCAGATGGTTCAAGGCGCGAGAGGCGATGGCCATTCCTCTCTGGATCTTGGGTCTGTTCTAGAAGGTCGTCTGGAACAATGCTCCCCTGCAATGAAGCAAGACTAGCCGAAGTGTGGCGCGATGGTACCCCAAGTATAACTAGGAAGACATGGTGTTTCTTTTTGGAATGACTTAACAAGTCAGCTTTTGACGATGGAAATGAATCAGAGACCTCGAGTTTCTATCTCGAGGCACCGAGGAAGATATCAAAGCTTGTCTCATGGTTGCTTCTGGCGGAGGGCACCGAGAGACAGGCGGGGATGACTACTGCAGTCGAGTACGTACAGTACCTTAAGGTGAGGTAAGTTGAAGGAGAAGCGAATCCAAAAAGGGAATCCGTGAAAGAGTGCAGGTGCAAGTGGAAGCGGATGCAAGAGGCAAGAGGTACATGGGTTGGTAGGCGGATTGAGGTGCACCTGCTGCATCTGCTCTGCACCTGCACCTGCGCCTGCATCGGCTTGGGGGGGCTATAAGTTGCAACATGTATATGTCGACGAGATGCAGCGCGAGATATCTTCCGTTGATAGTATGTGAGCATGCACCAGGGCAGTCTCATCGGAGCAAATACCAAACAACAAGACGCAGTCATCCAGCCAGTCGCATCGTGATTATTCCCGGGGCGCAAATTGGACGCACAAAGCGCGGTAAGCATAGGCGGATTGGCCGTTGATTTGTGGAATGCTGTGGAGGCAATCCAGAACACCTTGGAAAGTCTCAAACTCCCTAAAACGGCATTCCGAGCTCTGGACGGAGTGCCCGTACTTTGGACCAGGGAGTCTTTTGAACTTTCTCTTCATACCTACCAATGTATGTGAACACACACACACACACACACACACATGGTGGCGGTATCTAGATTGTCTAGGTGTCTTGGTGCTGCCTCGCTCATTCTCTTCTTCAACTTTCTCTCACATCTACTCTGTCCGGACTGTGTAAGATATTGTAAAAGTATGTCGATGCTACTTCCATTTGATTAGATACCCTACAGACTGTATGTGGGGTTATCTTTTGGCCGGCGGGCTACCTTAACACCTTGGATACCTTTACCTTGCACCTGCATCGCGCCTTCCACCGGCACCTTAGATTGTGACTCTTCTCCCTGACATCGTCGACCGTATTCCTGACCTCTTTCTATTTTGCATCTACTTCGTACCTCAAACCTGGCACGTAAGGTAGAAAGGACAGGCAGGACTTTCCCATACAACAACCCATCATTGGGAATACTATCCTGGTGGCCATCCATCATCGGGTACCGTGTAAGGTAGGACGCAGCCTCTGTGACAGGCACCTTCCTTCCACACAAAGACCCCACTTTCAAAGAGAAAGGGCAGGCTTTGGTTCTTGAATCCGGCTCGCCGCTTTCCTCCCACGCCTCTTACCTCACTCCGCCTCACCTCCTCCCCTCGCCTGCAACCTGCCACTCGCAGAGTTCCGACTCTCACGCTCATGCTTATGCTCACATCCTCTTTACCTCACCTCACCTCATCTCACCGGTCCGACGACTACCTACGATTCTCACTCAGGCCAGCTTGATTATTTACCCCACGAAATACTCGGGGCTGCCTCACTGGCCAACTTCCCACCTCACCTCACCTCACCTCACCTCACCTCACCTCACCTCAAAGGTCAACTCTGCACGCTTGACCTCATTTCGACTCGTCCGTCTCCACCCTTGAAAGCTCGAACCCAATTTTTCCAGGTTCCCAGAATCGGGTCGTTTTCTCCCCTCACGAACCGGAACCCTCGACGGAGGACGTAGTAGTATCCTCGAGAGTCGAGACTACAGTACATTCTACCACAGTACGGGTGCCACTTCACGATCCGCCCCTCTGGCTAGCCTCTCGCTCTCACTGGATGCTGTCATCGCCATCATCACGGACTCCCTGGCTTCCATTCGGGCTTTAGCTTGGATAACCTCAGTCCATTCGACATTGACTGGGCTGCGAACCTTACGCTGTCGCTGCCGACCCACTTTCATACCTCACGATACCCAAGGCACCCAAGGTACCTACCTACCTACACCAACCTTACCTTACAAGAGTACCGTCCAGTGATCCGTACCCAACGGGAGACAAGACACCTCACTGCTCGCAGCCGCTCTGACCTCCTGTGTCCCATCCGGCCTGGTATTGAACCTTTCCTTTTTTACCCCTCCACTGGTGACTGACGGGAAGTGCGCATCTCAGTTCAGCTTGCACGGCGTACCTATTCGCCTCCACAGCTGGCCAGTCGGCGCTGTGTACTCGACAGTGGATGCCAACCTGGAAAGGTACCTACAAAAAAGAAGGACGGCAAAAAAGGCAGCAAGCGACAAACGTCGAGTCTCAACTGGACCCAGTCACGCCTTCCCCTCTCGTGGCTCCTGTCCGCCCCCTCCCCTACCGCCTCCACCCTCCCGCCTCCACTCCCACGCACACAACCTGAAGGGAACCCGATCTCATAGCGTGGTCCGGCTCTCTCTCTCACTCCATCCCACTCTCACACTCTCTCAACTTCTCAACCCCCTCCAGCGAGAGAGAGCGAGAAAAAAAAAATCAAGTCTCCAATTTCACCTCCGAAAAATCACATCACCCGCAACCGAAACCGCAACCGCAACAGCAGCCGCATCTTACTCGCCGCCGTTCCCTCTCACAAACCAAACTCACAACTCTCACACCGTATTCTCACTCACTCACTCACACACACACACACACTCACACACACTCGCACACTCGCACGCACACGCCTGCGCGAGACCTCACCCCCAACTGCCGCCCATCTCTCGCGCCCACCAATCCCTCGGCATCGCGGTGATATCACGGGCCTGTTTTGACGTCAACCAAGAATTCAGGCCTCTGCCTCGACTAGGCCTTCACCTTCACTGTCCGTCACACAAACACGCCAGCCAGCAACCATGTCCGGCTCCGAGGGTGCACATGCAAACACAAACACGGGCGGCTTCGACCTGTTGAAGCGCGCGACACAGGCCATGATGATGTCAGGCTCGACCTCTAGGTATGTGCAATTTTTCGTTATGCCTCTCTGCCCTGCTACCTTTTGCTCCTATTCGGACCCCTTTTTGCACCCATTCCATATTTCATATTACCTCTCTCTCTACCTGCCTATGCAGCAAACCCCGTTTCTGGTACCTTTGACTCCTGCACCGGCCAGTTGGTTGAACTGCTTCACCGCGTGTTCGGTCAAAGCTGTGGCGCTAGCTTGCTTGCTTGCTCACTCTGTTCGGCTTGCGTTGTGACGCCTTTCCTCTTCGCTTGATATCTGTTCCTTTATTTCCCTCTACACTTGGGACTTCACCCCGGCCTGCCTGTCTCTCGCCTGGTTGCTTCTTCAAAGCTGGAGTTGCGTAACCATGGAAAGTACCGTTACCTGTCTTTGTCACTCGCTAGATAGGCTTGGTGGGCGTTCGAGACCCTATCTCCTCATATGTCATCGACGCTTTTCATTACCTGTCACCACCCCGTCACATTACCTTGTTGTTCCCATAGTTACCCCCGATCTTCCCCGCGGCGCACATTGGACCCTGGAAGGAGCCTCTCTTCTTGAAGGTTGCCCGTTCCATGCGGCATGTCATCGTCGGACATAGACACATACTACCCAAAAGCGTGGCGATGGAGGGGTGGCTGGCGAACGAGGGGCCTTTCCTGTCGCCTGTTCAGTCCTGCACCCGATGGGTTTGGTCAAGACGTTCCTCATTTGGCTAGTGCCAGAGACAACGGCCCTCTCAGCCTACCGCTGAGGGACCCCCAGACGATCCCGGACGAGTGTCCGAGGCTGCAAGCAACTGAGCCCATTCCCATTTCTCACCCTATCCTACGGTAGTCTAAGAGCTTGTTCGCTTGATTGCCCCCCCCCCCCCCCACCGGCACACGTTCGCTGCGTGTAGGCGCCGGTGGCAGGCATACCTGAAGCTGACCTTTACTCCGTGGACCATGTCGTGGGTGAGGGTGATATACGACGCATCAATCCAAAGTCCTGTTACACCCCTCATCCAACACTCGCTTGCACATGCAAATCACCGCATACCCCTCGTCCCATCCCTTCCCCTACCCATGTCCACGTACCTACCTTACCTGAACCCTTCGTTCGGTCGCCAATGCGGCGACAAGACTAGAAGATGGCAAGTAGAGGTGTAGAGACGCGGGGGCCGCCATGGCCAGGACGCCAGAGCCAGTCCAAGAGCCAATGCTGCAAGAGGCTTATCAAAGTTGAGAAGCCTGACTCGTCCAACAATGGTCCAACAACCAAAGGAGGAGTAACCAGTCATTCTTGCTCTAGTCAAGTCAGCATTGAAGCTCTCCCTGCACCTCGCGTCGTCTGAATGGTTTCCCCCTCTCTTTCCCTTCCCCTCCGCCCGCCCAGCGTCCTTGCCCCGCCATTGCATTTACTAAAAACCTCCGATCCAAGGCCTTGACTAGTGTTCGAGGACCTATGAAGACGGGGCGCCTTCGGAACAAAAAAGTCCACTTTTACTCATGTTTTCTATTTGACGGTTCTTCCCTTTTGGTCCTTTGCATCATCCCCCACCCCCCCCGAACTGCACTACCTACCTACCCGGCTAGCTATTGCGACGGCATCCTTGCTTCCACCCCCAAGCCCAAGAGAGGACGAAAAGAAGAGAGAGAAAAAAATTTACCCGTTCTTTTCCGTCAGAGGCACACACGGAGGGACGCACACAAGGCAGAACTCCTCCCTACTCCGCCTCGCTTCAATTCTTCGTCCTCACCCAAAGAACCCAAGTGTGGTCATGGTCTTGGCAGCCGTCATGAGCTAGCTCTTCACTCTAAATTTTGCCTCCGCTTTTCGCTGTGTTGCTCAGCGTGTCATCCCTCTGTTTCTGTTGTCCAACCCACGATTTCCCCTCCTCCGCGCAGTATCCGCCACAATTAACGATGAATCTCACTGTTAACCACCCCAGCAGGACTCCCGCGGCCGCACCTGACGAAGATGGCGCGGATCAGATCGGCTTTGATACGCCCCGCTCCGGGGTGGCGACCCCTCAACCCGACCTCCATGACAAACGCCTGCCGGGCATTATGAGCTACTTCGGCCAGGTTCGTACAGATTCTTCTCACAATTCTGTATCTGCCCCTGTCGCGTCGGATCGCAATCGAGGACAATCGCTTCCTGGTCCCTCAACGAAACAAGTCGAGACGGACGGGAAGGCTTCTCAGGTCAGCTCAGTGGATGCTGTGCCCGGTGGCGATCCTGAACCAACATCCCCATCACTCCCCCACCCCGAAGAGCGGCCATCATCACCACACACTTCATCCATGGCACTGGTTCAGACACATCAGTACCCGACACCGCCGATATCCAGACGGTCGTCGGCGGGACTTTTGAAAAGAAGTCTGTCACTGCGATATGGAGAATCACGGTCCGCGGCATCCTCATCTGCGCGACCGAAGCTCCAAAGAGGCGTCACAGATTACCCGCAAAAATGCCATAGTCTCACCCTCATGTCCCAACCTTCAAGCATCGTCACAACTTCAGTTGTGCATGCTCATCACATCTCAAATCCCAGTCTTCACAAGCCCATCACACCAACATCCCCCATTGCTTTCCACGTTGGTTCAGCGCAAAAAGCCGCTTCCCTTCACAGCTCTTCGTCAGTTGATCAGCTCAAGAAGCTAACACAGTTTGCGGGATTCAAGAGCGGTCCACCAACTCCTACAAGGGCGCTTTCAGCGGCGCAGCCCTCCCAGGCTGAGGAGAGGTCAACCTCCAAGAGAAGCAGCAACGAAACTGTCCCCCCTAGCGGCGTTCAGACACCCATCCGGCGCGGTACCACCGGTGCTCAAGTTCCCGCTGCTCGCGGCAAACTCACGATCAAGATTGTTGAGGCCAAGGGCTTGCGGCGTGCCAAGGACCCCTATGTCGTAGCCGTTTTCCAGAGAAGCGAGCTCATCTCAGGAGGCCCGCGTTCCGTCGAAGAGGAGGATGACGTGAACCTTCCGGCGCCCTCCTTTGGAGGCATTCCGATTCAAAGACAAGGCAGCGACTCAGGCCGCCCGGTCATGTCTATTCCTATGCGCAGCCGCCAGAGCAGCAATACCAGCATTTCCGATTACAACACATTCCGCAACCGTTCCCGCCGATCCTTCACCAGTCCAAAGTGGGACGCCGAGGCGGAATTGTAAGTTGACGCACTGATTGAAGCCCTTGGGTTCTTGGCTGACTTTTTCGGCAGTGATGTTGTTGATTCAAACATGCTGGTCGATATTTCCGTCTATGACCACACCGACAAGGGAGAAGATTTTTTGGGTCAAGTCGATTTCCAGGCCAACAGAGATTCCAGCAGCCCGGTACGTGGCTGGTTCCAGCTCAAGGGCCATGCCGACACGATGGCGGAGAACGCTCCTACAGGAGAGATTTACGTGGAAGCCGTCTACCAGCGAACGGAGAGAAAGCACTTTGGTCCGGAAGACTTCCAGATTCTTAAGTTGATCGGCAAAGGTACCTTTGGACAAGTTTACCAGGTCCGGAAGAAGGATACCGAACGTATCTACGCCATGAAGGTCTTGTCCAAGAAGGTCATCGTTCAGAAGAAGGAAGTCGCTCATACCGTTGGTGAGCGCAATATCCTGGTCCGGACAGCCATGTCCGACTCGCCCTTCATCGTGGGCCTCAAGTTCTCCTTCCAGACACCATCAGACCTCTACTTGGTTACTGATTACATGTCTGGCGGTGAGCTATTCTGGCATCTCCAGAAAGAAGGACGGTTCGATGAGCGTAGAGCCAAGTTCTATATCGCAGAGCTTATCTTGGCCATCCAGCACCTCCACAACAACGACATTGTTTATCGTGACTTGAAGCCAGAGAACATTCTGCTCGACGCAAATGGTCACATTGCCCTTTGTGACTTTGGCCTGTCAAAGGCCAATTTGACAAAGAACGATACCACCAACACATTCTGTGGCACAACCGAGTACCTCGCTCCCGAAGTTCTCCTTGACGAGTCAGGATACACCAAGATGGTGGATTTCTGGTCTCTGGGAGTTCTAGTCTTCGAGATGTGCTGCGGTTGGAGCCCCTTCTATGCGGAGGATACCCAACAGATGTACAAGAACATCGCCTTTGGCAAGGTCAGATTTCCTCGGGACACCTTGTCACAGGAGGGTCGCAACTTCGTGAAGGGCCTGCTCAACAGAAACCCCAAGCACAGACTTGGTGCGACGGACGACGCGGAGGAGTTGAAGCGCCACCCATTCTTTGCCGACATTGACTGGGACATCCTGGCAAAGAAGCTCATCACACCTCCCTTCAAGCCCAAGTTGACCTCTGCCACAGATGTGTCGTACTTTGACCCCGAGTTCACCAACGCGCTCGATAACAACGGCTCGCTTAATGAACGGGCGGCTGCTTTGTCCAAGGGATTCGCTACATCGACGCCCCTTTCACCCTCTGTGCAGGCCAACTTCCAGGGCTTCACCTTTGTGGACGAGAGCGCTCTCGACGATCACATGAGAGATAAGGGTCGCTATGATGACGAAGAGATGCGTGATTCTCACAACCAGGACGATGACTGGGATGACCTGGAGGATATGAACCAGAGAGGCAATCGCATGAGCGGCATTGTGCGCACAACCACCAACGAAGAGCAGATGATTGGTGGTGGTCACTTTGACGTTTAATGACTTTGTGCATTCTGGTTTTTTTTTCCTAGGTACTTCTGGGTCATTTGTTTTTTGGGTTCTATTTGAGGACAAAGAAAAGTTCCATCACACACAGCCTTTTCTCTCTTGCAGAAGCAAAACACGGTCATCATTATTACGAAGTCAAAAAACGAACATTTCATGGATTTCAGTGCATAAGGGCGGTCAAACCTTGCATGTGATCATTGGGCCCGGCGGGTGTAATCGGTACATGGCGTTTTTGGGCTAAAGCGATGAACATTCGGATTCCTGATCGGCCCCTCAGAATGCTGCTTTTCAAGCTAATCAAAGAGCTTTACACACGACACAATCAATAACTACAACAACGACAGTAGGCCTTGATCATAAGGCTCTGCATACGGCTCGCCGATGCTGATGATCTCTATGCCTTTATCTGGGTGATATGGATGCTCTGTATCTTTATGAGTCGCTGCCATAGGAAGCATTCGCACATCAGCCATGAGGCTGATACACAAGCATCGCTGCATTTGGGAGGATATTTTCATGGAAAGGAGTGGTACCCAAGGGAATACGATATACTGCAATTTTGCGGCAGACGTTAAGCGTTTGAGGCAATCTGGTGGGCCATGGTCTGTGGGAGAAGGGTTCCTGATGGATGCCTAGATATCCAACAAGCAAATCCCCCCCCCCCCCCCTTCCGGCCATCAAAGAGCCATGCAGTATATCGGGTGAAGAGGGTGGTGGACAGTACCAATGAAGAAAGGAAGAGGGGCTGTCAACGGAAAGAAGTGAGAGAGGAAAGCGATTAGCTCTACACAAAGCCGTCTGTAATACTGCTTAATTAGCTTTAGCTACATTTAAAAACAAAAACAAAAAACAAAAAACAAAAAGGACACTAGGTTCTCTTGACGTATCTTTCCAAAGGTGATGTTTGGTAGTGACTTGACCGGAATTCTATGGAGTTGGATTCATCAAGAAAACGAGGTTCGTCGTTAATGTAGAGGCATCGTAACATCACTTACTGCCTTTATTAGTATTCGCTTTTCATACTTCTTGAAGTATACTCTTCCAAGGAACGAAGATGTAACAAAATTTAGAATAACAATTAGAATTAAGAGGGACTACGCAGATCCACCATCACCACCACCAAAGCGTAGGACATTTCAGAGGCTCATTTTTTGGCGGGACCTAGAGCCGCCAGGGACACACACACACACACGACATGCTCGACCAAGGAAACAGATCCTAAAGATTATCCAGACAAGAAACTCTCATGAGACACCGAGGACTGAGGGCATGGTGTATGAAGACCGTTATCGAGTACCCGATCAGCGGACCAGAAAGCAATCAGACAAAACTGTCCCCGCGATAAGGAATGATTTGGTGAGAAGCCAATGGAAGGCGATGAGATGTCGACGAGGTAAAAAAGAAAGACAAGGAAAGGCAAGGTAGCGCAGGTGACGAGTAGTACATTATCCCATCACCGCTCGTCGACTTTGGAAAGGCCCGCCGCCCAGCATGATCGTTGTGGATCATAAATCATTTGTTGTCCTGGGAAACTACGCAAACCCAACCTGGATTGCATTGAAAACAAGACCCGTAGGCAGTAGCATCAATGACTCTTTTCCTTTCTGTCCAAGGAAACTTGGCAGACACAATGGGGGGGAGCTCTGTTCAGTTTTGTGTGCATTGAGGGGGATATCATTTACCGAGTATCAAAAGGAGTTCTGAGAAACAGAGCCTCTTTGTCTGACGGTTCTGTGTGGTGGTGGGTTCTATCCGGGAGATTCCGGGTTCCCCACGATGTCTTCGCTCAAGGCCCAGAGTCAGGTATGCCGTTGCGGTATACAACCTCCATTTTGGAAAACAGACGCAATAGGGTCGTATCGATCCATTTGGCATGGAAGCTGCCGGAGTATGTTGGTTGTTGGTCGAGGATGTCCAGGTAAAATCACACATATGACCGGCCTGTGCCACATACACACAAGAGAGACGGAGATAGTTGAAGCGCATGCGAATAGCATTCCTAGCCAGCGAGGTTTAGTTGGACAATATACACGGGATTACCACCTCCCAGCACACCTTTCCCCTCGTTTCTAGGGTCTCTCTCTCTCTCTCTCTCTTTCCCCCTTCTCTCCTTTCCTCTCAATCACAAAAACACGTTTCCCACTCCTTTTGGTCGGTTCGGAGCAAGCGGTCAAGGTTACAAACCCAGAAGCCAAGGTTGGAAAAGCACTTTTCCCTCCCATCACTTCAGGATTGATGGACGTTTTTATCTTTTCGGCGGGGGAATCCGGGACGGTGTAGTTCGTTTTGAAACTTTTTTGTTTTCTTTTCCAATAACGGTTTTGCACGTCGCCGAAGCGCTCTAGTGGTGAGGCTCCTCCTCGTCCTCCTCAATCATGAGCCAGTCGTGCTTGACGGGCTCGCCGTTGGCGGCAGCGGTGGCGTCCTGGCCCTCGACCTCGACAGCCATGCTCTCGTACTCCTTCAGGCTGGCGGCGAGGTCGGCCTCCTCGGGAGACTTGGGGGTGGCGGGGATGGAGAAGGTCTGGACCTGGCCCTGGGAGTCGGACTCCTTAATGGGGGTGGGCTTGTAGGCCTTGAGCTCCTTGAGGTAGAGCTCCTGGACGAAGTCGGCTGTATCGGGGATTGCAGGTTAGTGAAATGGGTTCGGAGCAAGAGTTTTTGGGGCGATGACGACGGCGACGGCATGGGAGGGGGGAAGAAAGAGGAGCGACGGGCGGATCGGAGACATGGAAGGGCATTAATCGGTGTAGGATGGTCGATGCGAATGTGATGGACGGCGAGTGTGTTCAAGTGGTTTGCGTGACCGATATCGTTATCCGACAGAAAGGCGCACTCCCCAGCTTCGGAGCTTGGCCTCCCTTTAGCCGCACCGGCAACCCGAAATGGCCAACGCTTCGCATCGAACGCAACCTCGCTCCTCCTCTTGGGGGGAGGGCAATTGAAATCGAAGACTGGAGAAATATTGACGAACCTCTGCGGGAGACGGTGGGAGCGATGAATCCCCTCATCTGGACGGCGCTGGGCCTCGCCAGCCGAGAGACAGCCGAAGCGGCGCGCTGTTTGGGCAAAAGTCGTCAGTTTTTTTCCTTGATTTCCGACCGACGGTCCGCGCGTCCGAACGGAGGCCGATGCCAACAGCGACAACACAACAACATCATCACGACAACGGAAAGAGAGAGAGGAGAGAGAGACGTACAGTGGCTCTGGACAATTGGACGAGCATCTTGATATGTGGGTGGTGGCTGGCTCAATTGGGGACACCGGGGGGGATGGGGGGAGGGAGGCGGACGACGGGTGGTTGAGGGTTTTGTACGGGATGGGACAGTAAAAAGCTGGAGTGAGCCGGTTCAGTTCTGGTTGGACGCAATGATTCCCAGCCGACCGCTGCGATTTGGATGCCTCAGGTCTCAGGCGTAGAACCTGCCTGCCTTTTGATGCCTTCCCCACTTTCCCACGTCTTTCCACCTCACGCATTGCTGCAGCGGGTCGGGGAAACAACAAGCGGAGGCGGGTGGACTGATATCACGTGAGGAAACGACCGATGACACTATACCGTCGCTGCCCATCTTCTTTCTGGCATAGATCTGGTCTGGAAGGTGACTGCTAGCTGGTGAGAGGTGGTCATTGGGAGTAATTAACAGCCAAGAAGGAACGGTTTCGTCAACTCCCCCATCCACCAAACCACCACCGCCGACATCATAGGCTGGCACTTAACGCCGGGCACACCAACCAGTACACCAAGAGAGTTCAAACTGCCACACTTTGTTCGGACCAAGCTTGGCCTAAGCTCCTTTGGCGATCCGGGCTAGCTCTCTCACAGCTGCAACAATCGCGCTTTTTGGTGCATGACCTCATACATCCATGTCTCTCATACTCCGTCATTTTCGTCACCATCAGAGTGTTTCTGTTGTTGCTCGCTGGGCTCGAAGTCGAGCTAGGTCACCACTTCCTCATGTACCTGGCTAAATACCTGTCGCGGCTGATTCATTTGACTTTGGTCCGAAAGAGAAGCGAAAGGCTGTTCAAGAAGCCTGTAGGTAGCAAGATCTCCCTTTATCAGTTTCGAGGATGACTTGTCTCATCATCGTTGCTCACCCTGTTATATTACCAGTGTCAGAACAGAGATGGAAAGACACAAGGATGCGTACAATAAGTCGAGGGCTCGTGTTTAAAATCTGCAAGGCTATTTATTCATCACACATGCAAGTACCGGTGGCTTAGATCAAGTGATCGTTATTGCAGAAGCTATCATTCAAAAAACACCTATCACTAATAACGCCACAAACTCCGTGCTCTACCCAAGTTGCCTTCTCTTTATACTGCGACCTTAGATCCTCCGTAGGCAGGGCAAGGTTGGTACCCTGCCACCTGTGGTATAACGATTACACAAAACAAATTACAGGCTAATGTCTGTATCCCATATGGTCTTTTCTGTATTCTTGCTGTTGTCCAGAACAAACCCTCGAGCCAAGCTAGGCCCGGCGCTTATTTCTTTTGGCGGTAGGGAATGCGTTGTTGGGAATCAGGAGACTCGTGGCTCTGCTCGCGCTTGACGGTACGCTTGGACTTGCGCATCTCGCCCCAAATAGCGGATCCAATCCACGCAACACCGAGAATAGCAGCAACCACGGAGTACGCAATGACATAGGCCCGAGATGAGCTAGCGAGCTCGAGACCGAGTCCACCGTTGATAATGCCGAGAACCATTACAATTCTGCCGAACCAGATGTGGACGTGGCTGATAACACCACGGGACTGGAACTTCTTGTAGTAGGCGTGGTGGGCGTATCCGAGGAACGGCTGCACGGCCAAGAGGGCAACAACTACGGTACCAAGGAGGGTATGGGTTTGCGCAAAGAGCTACGCGGTATCAGCACTGCGATCTTGGATGTCCGGATTTGGAGGGTCTTGGAAATAACCCGAGGGAGTACGGTCTCCCGGTTCACGAAAAAATGAAAAAAAGCAACTCACATAACCGTTGTCGCGAG